CATATACTGTGCGTTTATTATCAAACTTTTGTTATTGTTGAAAGTCTGTGGTCAAACTGAGAATAAATTAATATTGTTTGTCTTAAATACTATTAATCTATAGTGTAGTTTTGGCGAAATCTATGATTATATAAAAAAAAAAAACTAATAGTGTTTGACTAAAAAAAAGAACCATAATAATATTCAAACTTATAATTTCAATTAATTATAGTCGAATTTCGACTACTGCGGGACCACTAGTATTTATAATTGGGTGTTATACTTTAAAACAGCTTACAATTTTTTGCATAGAAAATTTACGGGAAAGTTTTAAAATTATTTTAAGAAACGAAGAGAGAATACCGTTTCAAAGATTGCTTCTAACTATCACAAAGTTACAATGAAATGCAATTTTGTCTGAACGCTGGCATTTAACGGGTAATTAAAGTTATAGGAATGTACAAGTTAACTCGGGTGCACATAGCACAAGAGCAAGTTCGAGAAGGCGCTGTTACGTTCATTCTTAAGGTAGCATTTTCGTTTCTTACATCGCGATTTTTTAATTTGGTCTTATTTTTATTGAACACCGAGATCGTTGAAATTGATCATCTCATTGGCCTCAATACTGCTTACTGCCAGTGTTACTTAGTCTTATTGGTCGATTTTGTGTTCTTAATTCAAAACTATATTAATTAATACCTCTTTCACCACTTCATCATTATTCACGTGAAAAATAAAGGACATACTATCTCGTAGTATAATATTATTATGCATTTAATAGTGGTAAGACCTCTTGTGAGTCCGTATGGGTAAGTACCACCATCCTGCCTATTTTGGCCGTGAAGCAGTAATGCGTTTCGGTTTGAAGGGTGGGGCAGCCGTTGTAACTATACTGAGACCTTAGAACGCATATATCAAGGTGGGTGGCGCATTTACGTTGTAGATGTCTATGGGCTCCAGTAACCACTTAACACCAGGTGGGCTGTGAGCTCGTCCACTCTCCTAAGCAATAAAAAAAAATTTCATTTCAATTTTTTTTTTTTTTTCCTACCTAAGCTGATAGCCCTAGGGGCTATGTCAGCGTAACCCTAACTTTAGTAGGTGAGCTCACGGGGCTCAAACCTGGTGACGTTGCTAATACGGACCCTAGCAAGAGCCGTGCTTCGCAGAATCTACCACCGGCTCGGAAACGCGACCCACTGAGAAGATCCGGCGAGAAACTCAGTGGGCTGTGTCTGAGAGTTAATTTACTCGTCGAGCCCTTCGTCGCAAGCGACGGGTTCGACGAGAACGGTGCTTGAAGTACCTAAAAGCACCGTTAGTGGATCGGGAGGATCCGAGATGACGTGTTTTGGGCGACGTCGACTGCTTTCCATTCTGTCCGCAGGATCGGGAATGTAGTTACCGGCGGCCACGATGAGAGGGTTCTCGTGTCGTGCCGCTTTATCGAAGTGGATCATTTCAATAATAAACAGTATAAACCAAATAAAATCGTTGTATTGTGTTTCGAAACTGTAACTTAAACTTTAAAGAAACGACCATTGTCTAAAGTTTCTTTGAACTTTGTATGTACTGTTTATGTTCATACCTAAATTCGCTGTGTTTACATTTTGTTTATTAACTTTACGTTTTTAGCATGAAGAATAGGGACTAGTTTTGCAATCCGTACCGGCTACTGCAAGCACTTGCTATTATATAGTACATATTGACATGATCATTGATCATTGGTCTAACGTTATCGACTTTACTGAACCATGAACTCTGGTTTGAGTTCTGGGCGCAGTTAGTATCTGTGTCAAAAATAAAGCCTTAAAAAATAAAGCAGCTCAATTCGAATTTAGTTTCGACTAAAAGTTCTCACTCAAACAGTGAGTGACGTGAGATCTTGGAATGTTCCTGAAAACGAACGCAGTACCGATGAATACATATGAAAACAAACGCGAAAATATATCTCTAATAAAGTCCTTTGGACTAAATGTAACCAAAACCCCATCGCGCAAGACATTGCCCATCGGAAATGGCGTTGGATGGGACACACTCTACGGTGCAGCGGAGTCAACGCAGCATCAATCGCGTTTGAGTGGCAACCGCTTGGCAGGAGTAGACCTGGTCGTCCTGTACATACTTGGCGACACACCGTGGACAGTGAGATGAGGACTGCCAACGTGACGTAATATCAAGGAGCAAACGCGAGACAGGGTCAAGTGGAGACAACTTGTGAGGTCCCTATATGCCCCTGGCATACCCTAGGACTACAACAACAACACAATCGAATATATATATATTATTATATATATATATTTTTTATATATTATTGCTTAGATGGGTAGACGAGCTCTCAGCCCACCGGGTATTAAGTGGTTACTGGAGCCCATAGACCTCACGCAAATGCGCCACCCACCTTGAGATATAAGTTCTAAGGTCTCAGTATAGTTACAACGGCTGCCCCACCTTTCAAACCGAATTACTGCTTCACGGCAGAAATAGGCAGGGTGGTGGTACCTACCCGTGCGGACTCAAAAGAGGTCCTACCACCAGTAGGATTTCACTGTTGTTTTCAAATTACACGCGACGCACTGCAATTGAACTAAATTCCGAAGCGCCAAATTAGTTGCGACCAAACTAAAATCCCGTTTATACAGACCAATGACCAATATTTGATTTACTAAAACAATCTCATGTTCCTTTTATCCTGATGTACGTGTTGAATTCGATCGTTTACACAAAACTACATTAACCTCGGGCATAATTCGCGGCAGCCGCGTTACGTTATAATATCAAAGGATCCTCGTATGCAAAATAAACTATCGGCCCGTGAGGGATACGTGTAGCGTTTTCATGGGTTTTGAGTATTAACACTTGATTGATCATCGACCCTCGCGCGAGTAGATACAACACATACCTCTGTCGATACTGTTTAGTTTACGTAACAAAGTGTACGAAGGCTATAAAGGTAATGGAAAGCAAAGAGTATTTACACCTATATAGAGCTTTATTGGCTTTTGTTGAAAATAGACAGTTGTGGAGATAGGAAACTATAATATATAGATAATAATAATATAACACTTTATTTAACACCATATGTACAGACAGAGTAAGCATATAAAACAAATAATAGTCGGTGACATAAATTGGTGGCCTTATCGCTGAAAGCGATCTCTTCCAGGCAACCTTTCAGGGAGAGGAATAAGCGAACTGGACTGTGCTATATCTTAATAAACTCACATAAAAATTAATACTTATATACATGTTAAAAATAAATACAATATAATATATACTTACATACGATTAAATACAAATAAATACTAAAAATATGCAAGTAAATACAAAATAAGTAGCAACTTGTACAGATAAAGATAGATAAAGATAAATGGATGGTTAGATTTTTATTGTACAGAAATAGGATAACGGAGCCTATAGACCTCACAACGCTAATGCTGTCACTCGTCTGAAGTTCGCGCATCTAAATCTCAATTGTAAAGCATAACAACTCCTACAATCCTTCGAAGGGGAACGCATGACTGATTTGTAGTAATTCGTCGGCAGTATCTAACTAGCAGTATTAGTGATTTAATCTTTACGATAACAGGATCCGCGCGCTTATCTTACACCCGGGATCACAAAACATTCTTAGTTCTATCTGTGTGTAAAGAAATGTAATTGTCAATTATTTATTTTTATTGCCCTGCCATGGTGAGTGGTTACCGTCGCCCATGGACTTCAGCAACGCCAGGGGTGTAGCCAAGCCGCTGCCTGCCGATTAATACTCTCCACAAGCCTCTTTTAAAGAAGGACATGTCATAGCGCTCGGGAAACACCATCGAGGGGAGCTCATTCCATAGCCGGATGGTACGTTTTTTTTTTTATTGCCCTTGTAAGCAGACGAGCATACGGCCCACCTGATAGTGAGTGGTTACCGTCGCTCATGGACTTCAGCAATGCCAGGGGCAGAGCCAAGCCGCTGCCTATCGTACGTGGCAAAAAAGACCTCTGGAAACGCACTGTCGATGAACGCAGCGGTTCCAGATAATATGGATGAACTCTGCTCCGTTTGCGGGAGGTGCGATGATAAGAAGGAGATGAGTGGGATCATCTCAAACAATTCCTCAGAGCACTGTGTGTGTGTGTGTGTGTGTGTGCAACAAAAATATGTGTATTATTCAATTATGCATAAATTATGCAAAATTAGTCGCTAGTTTCAATCTCGACGAACAAATTATGCAAACGACGTAAATAATTAAATCAAATTAACAAAAGCGAAACTGAATTTAAACTGTATTTTTCTCGTTGCAGTTACAGTTTTTTTTTACTCGATTGAACTTGTGTATGCTAACATTTATATATGTAATGTTGGATCTCGCGTTTAATCTATGTACAATGTGGGTATGTTGTTGTTGAATTAAAAAAGAAAGATGTGTTTTAATTTAAGCTTCAATTTAATTTTAATTCTATTTGGACTTTTTGGCGGGAACGCGAGCAGTGAAGTTGTGTGATTTGTTTTATTTTGTCTATTTAGTGCTTCTTCAGGCTCAAGTATGTAATAACGGTGGTTTATTAACTGTTTAATATCTGTGAAAGTGCAAAAATTTGGGAATAGGAAACAAAGCTGCTGGACGTAACTTCTTGAGATCCTCCAAAAAGTCCACTGAAAAAATCTCGGTAAATGACCACCATTTTACTGAGATTATATTTCATCCCATATCATTTCACTTAATTTCATCCCAGTTGATTAATGTCTCAAATTAATCATCTTCATTTTCATTTCCCTCCATACTATCATTTTTCTTAAAATTAGGAATATAAATTAAAATAATTAAAATAACACATGACTTAAAGGTCTTAGTTACTAGGTGATAAAAACCCAAAAAAAAATATCCTTTTTTCGTATCATTTGTCTTATTGCAAATGATTTCATTGTGACAATCGTCCATGCCATTTAAAAACAATATCTATTTAAATAACATTAAGAGTTAAATCAATTTGATAAACAAATTTCTCATTCATGTTTTCTTTCTTTTCAGAATCTTAAGAATCAAATCATGACAACGAACGTGTGGGTAGAGCAGGTAAGCAAAACCTATCCAATATTAATACTATAATAATTTTAGTTTTGTACGCCAATCACAGTTATCTAGTTGTCTATGCGCACAAAAACTACAAAAAAAAAAAGAAATCGGTCAACGAGCACTACACCTGTGTACCTCTTCCTCGCCAACACTAGTAAATTTTGATGTATAAAAATGTGTATCAAGATACAATGATTAATCTTCAGAGTCTGACCGAAATTGACGCTTGACTACTTTTTGAATTTAATTTATTGCAACTTCAACTATCTTTCCGGGAGCGTCAAATCAACATGCCTATAATAGTTCTGTTGTGTCTTATTTTCTGATTGAGGAGTGGGACAACTTTACTGCAATACCATTCACGCTCGTCGACCATTGAATTATTTATTTATTTATTAGGCACACAACATTACAAGCTAAAAAGATACACAAAAAATAACAAGTAAAAAAAAAACTGGCTGGAAACATAAGCCATGTGCGCACGACTAAACAAGACAAACGTGCTGAGTTTGTACACAATGGTCTTTACAACTATACGACAAAACAACACCATAACGAAAACTAATCTAATTTCAAACCAAATCATATCAAATAAAAAAAAAAAAAAATTACATTAATGAAAGTACACACTTGTTGAACGTCAAAAAGAACTACCGCCTACCGCCAATTCACAAAAACGAGCCTCCGTCCTGAGAAGAACTGGCAAGAAACTCAGTGGACATGTCTTTTTTTAAATATTCATTTTTACAAGATGTATTATAACGTAACAATTATTGCAATGTTGAAATGCCCGGAGCGAGCAACTCATTCCTACTTTGTGTAATCTTCTAGCTAATCATTGACTTTATAGTAACCTTTATTGCACAGATGTTCTTTAATAGTTTTTATAAACCTATGTATGTGTAGGTACTGAACATCTTGTGGGATTTTGTTGTACAGGCGCACAGCCAAACACCCGAATAAATTTCGTATCTTATGTAACATACTCATCGGCATATCAAGCTTGTGTTTGTTCCTAGTATTTCTATTATGTAAGTCAGAATTTTTAGGAAACTCCTCAATGTGCTTACGAACATACATCAAATTTTCAAAAATTTTATAATGTAAAGAAATAATTTTACTTAAAATATACATTAAACAATTACACTACTTAACCTACTATTAACATGGAGGATGCTCTTGAACATTTTTATAAACGTCACTAACCCACAAGTAAAAATATCCAACTCAGTTGACGACTTTGCCAGTTCGTTATAGGCGCGACACATTCGGGTAATTGAATTATACCACAACGAGAAAACCATCATCCGATCTACGGATAAGATCGATCTATAAGCGGATAATTACTTAAATCATATGTTCCGTGATGAACTGTCCCCCTTAATGGTATAAAGGACGTAAAAACAAAAATACTGACTGCGGTCAACCAAATTAAATGCCGAGCTATGATATTGTAGTTGTCATAACGATGGCGTTAAACCACAAGTCTTAGCCCACTGAGTTTCTCACCGGATCTTCTCAGTGGGTCGCGTTTCCGATCCGATGGTAGATTCTGCGAAGCACTGCTTTTGCTAGGCTCAGTGTTAGCAACACTCCGGCTTGAGCCCCGTGAGCTCACCTACATGTAAGGGCGAAGCTGAAATAGCCTCCCAAGGCTAGGGAAGGTAGGGAAAAAAAACAAGTCAAAAATGCAAGTAAATAAAAATACAACACGAAATTAAATATTCATTGTGGACAAACAGAGTATAAAGGCAAAGATCCGAAGTATCCTTCATAAATAACGTAACTATAGTTTTATAAATAGTACCTTTAAGAGCAGAGGACACAATTTCCGTCCAAGCGAACCCTGACAAATGGCCGACGTCCCGGAAGGGACGGTTCGCTACAAGAGCCCTCGCTCACTCAACGGACACGTCAACTCACACGTGACTAATAGATTTAAGGCATTTTGTTTGGCGTGCCGGAATCTTTACGATCTGATCGCGTGGAACCTTGTAGTTCCTCCGTTTTCAATGCTTTTGTCTCTAACTAAGAATTGTTAGCATTCTTGTTCCCAATTTCCTTTAGAATTCTTCATAATCGCACGAAGTTAAACGAGTTTTTATTCAATTATAATTTAAGGCTGTGGTCAATACTTATGAGATTATTTTAAATTGTTTAATTCATCATAGCATTTAGCAGATTAGAGTTCTCCGAAGTTCATAAATGCTGACTTCTTATAACATATGGTATAAGAATTCTGTGTCTCGTAGTCGCCACGAGTAGTAATCTCGGAAATTGATTCTGTCTGCTTTTGTTCCAGCTCAACACGTAGCACCAGAGTTTCAACTTAATACACGAAATTCCTTTGCTCATTTATCCACACTAGCATTCCAGAGTTTTAAAAAAAATTTGGATCTGGTACGAACCCTCTATAACATTTCAGCAATGCAGTTGATGTGGCATTGATAAAATCATTGAGCCTCAAAAACCACTAGCGATATGTGGCAATGATCAAATCTTTGGGCCTCGATAATCACCATAGGTGAAATAACAGCTATTCAGATTATTCAATGCAAGATTAATAAAGAATTTCTTGTCGCTTATCCAATGTTGTATAACATCATCCACACTTTACGTGCAAATAACGTATTTGGCTTTTAATGGCTTCTCGTTTAACACAGTATGTGTTCCCTTCACAGAGCTATAAGATAACATAATTACGGCTATTTAAAATTGGGCAATGATTCTTCAACTTAAGAAAGACTTTACTGAGACATAAAAAAAACATAATTTAAAAATCAATACCAACCGAACTATCTATCCTATATTTGCTAAAGACATTCATCATATATTCACCGGAATCTACGAAGGAAAACATTGAATAAAAAAAAAAACTTGTGTCCTTTTTGGGGACACGCTAGATCGTATATCTCTGTCCTTCTCGAAAAGACTCTGATGATAATAAAAATGTTATGATCGTAACAACTTTGCGATTTATTTGTTGGAGTCGATAGTTCCTCATGCCAAGTATTGAAGAGTAAACATAACTTGTGAATACTTGTTATGTAACTCGCTTGCTTTATATATTGTAGTATGTTTACTGGTGGTAGGACCTCTTGTGAGTCCGCGCGGGTGGGTACCACCACCCCGCCTATTTCTTCCGTGAAGCAGTAATGCGTTTCGGTTTGAAGGGTGGGGCAGCCGTTGTAACTATACTTCAGACCTTAGAACTTATATCTCAAGGTGGGTGGCGCATTTACGTTGTGGATGTCTATGGGCTCCAGTAACCACTTAGCACCAGGTGGGCTGTGAGCAAATCCATCCATCTAAGCAATAAAAAAATGTAGAGCGATGGAACAACAATAATAGTTATTAGATTGACCATTAAATTTTCAAAGACTTATAAAATCGGTACGGGAAGACGTAGCGTAGATTTTTTTTTTATTATTACTTACATGGATGGACGAGCTCACAGCCCACCTGGTGTTAAGTGGTTACTGGAGCCCATAGACATCTATAACATAAATGCGCCACCCACCTTGAAATATAAGTTCTAAGGTCTCAGTATAGTTACAACGGCTGCCTCCCATCCTTCAAACCGAAACGCATTAGGTAGATAGGCCTACCACAAGACCGACGATCCATTGAGATTCGCGGGGATCCGCTGAATGTAAGTACCGCAAGGCCGATCGTTGTGGCGAATCTTAGGAGAGTCCTATATCCAGTAGTGGACGTCTGTGGGCTGAAAGATAGATATATAGAAAATCGATAACTGAATGGCTATTAGCATTCATCGTCATCAATCATCGAGTTTCGTTCTAATTCAATGTTCAATCTTATGAAACTACATTCTAATATTTTAAGTAGCTTATACTCGTAGTACAAATCCTATAGGATGGTCATTACACGCAAACTGAGCGTCGTCGAGCGCTTTTTGTTCAAGTTCTTCCTCGCGTTATGTCGACCGTGCACGACATGCACTTTAACCAATCCATCCAAATCCAAACAATTTCCAAATGATCTGTAAGAGATCGCTCTTAGAGATAAGACCGCCAATTGTACGTTTTTTGGAACGAAGTTCCTTATGGGACGATGGGGAGGCGTACCCTAACCGGGAAAAAACGTCTGTAACGTAAGATTTTTATTAGTAATGCACACAGTGTGCGACTTAACTTTGTAATAACGTACAAATTAGTAATGCCCACAGTTTACGACTTAACTTTGTAATAACGTACAAAAAATAACATATTTTTTTATCATTCATTTACTACGATCTCAGGGCCTTCGTTTGCGCAATACACTAACACTTATGCAAACAACCGTGAATGAAGTGTACCACAATAAGTTCGCACGTTGGCGAGCGATTGAAGAGCTATCCCTCCGGGAGCCGTGCTTTTTGGTCGCTCGCCAAAGCTGCAGAAGGAAACTTTTGCAGGTCTAGTCTCCCACCACTGCGCAAGTCCGATGACAATCTGGCCCACAGCGCGAAAGAGAAGGCTGACCTTCTGGTCAAACTCTTCGCCTCGAACTCGACTGTGGACGACGGGGGTGNCCAATGCGTAGCCGGGGTATCCGAGGTACGACGTATCGTCCGGGGCAGATATCTGCGTCTCAGTCAGGAAAAAGAGGGCAGGCTGCGCCGTCTCAAGGTGGTGATGTACGGCGTCAAGGTTACTGTGTAGGCCCCTGACATTGCTGAAATCCACATTAAACGTGGAATGGGGATCCGCCGAAAAAACTCTTTTTCTTTTGTCGACTTTTGTCGACTCGTTTGTGCAATACACTAACTCTTATGCAAACAACCGTGAATGAAGTGTGCCACAATAAGTTCGCACGTTACCGAATGACCGTGGGTTGTTGCGAAACCTCCAGTTTTATTTTCTTTATAACTCGAATAGAACTTAAAATTAATATTTTTATAATAAGGAACTTCGATCTTATCCGGTGTCCCTCGACACCACACATCTTTTTATGTGTACAATGAAGAATATTCTCTCTCTCTCTCTCTCTCTCTCTCT